ACCATGTGATCCAGCAATTTCACTTCTAGGTATACAACCAAAAAAAAAAGAACTGAAGGCAGGGACTTGAAGAGATATTTGTACATTTGATGTTCACAAGCAGCATTATTCACACGGCCAAAAAGTGGAAATTACCCATGTCCATCAACAGATGAATGGATAAACAAACTATGGCATACCCGTACAATGGAGTATTAGCCTTAAAGAGGAATGAAATTCTGACACATGCTACAGTATGGATGAACCTTGAAGACATCACAGTTTGCGAAATAAGCCCAACATAAGAAGACAAATACTGTATGATTACACTGATTTGAGGTCCCTAGAACAGTCAAATTCACAGTGATGGAAAGTACGAAGGTGGTCGCCAGCAGCTGGGGTTGGGGTGGGGGAGATGAGAGGAGTTAGCGCCTAGCAGGTATAGAGATTCAGTTTGGCATGACAAAAAAGTTCTGGGGAATGGATGGTGGCGTGAACGTACTGAATGTCCTAACTGTACACTTAAAAATGGTTAAAGTGTACATTTTATGTTACGTATATCTGACCACAATTTAAAAAAATAAAAGCTACCTCGGGAAGAAAAGTTCAAGTAGACACAGAGATTAATCAAGGCCAGCAAACAAAAGCCCCCCGGGAGAAAAGTGAGACCCTGCACCAAGGACCCCAGGCCCGCTGTGGCAGGTGCAGCAAGCACTTAGGGCAGAAGGCATCCGCTGCTGAAGGCCAGGTACTCCGGCCCGTATGATCCGATGTAACCAAAGAGGGGGCTGTAATGCAACTAAAGGTGCATTTCCACAAACATAAACGGGATACGGTTATTTTGAATTTTGAAAAAATAATGATTAGAACATCATTTTACAAAAACTCATTTATGTGTACCATGGATGCACCAAAAGGAGAATCACAACCCGAGTCCGATCCGATTAGGTTCACAGATGAGACTGGAGGCAAACAGCCACACGCCTGCTCTCACTTCGCATTCGTGAGCGCTAGCTCCACGCGCACCCCCCACCCGGGCTTCCCCACTTCCCCAGTCCAACCACTAATCGTCCTTCCCAGGCGAATACGCTCCCCCCATCCCTCGGCTTCCTCTTTCACTAAGATAACACCACAGTTAGAAAGGGACACTGCCGCTCCGGCCTCTGCCCACCCATCCACACATGCCCCCCATCAGCACCCCGTCGAAGGCCGGCCCCTTTGCTGGTGCCCTGGACCCCAAGCACTTTCGCCTCCTCTCAGCCACCAAGAAGCAGACGTCCCCTCCCCAAATCTTCAAAACTCCCCTCTACTGAATCATTTCTATCAGCACAAAACACTGCTATTTTCTCCCCCGAAGGAAGTAAAACCTCTCCTGCCCCAGAGCAATGGTCCCATGTCTCTGCTCCCTCACACATGACAACCCTTGAAAGAGCTGCCCAGACTCCATACCTCCTTGCTGCCCCCTGAGCTGCCCCCACCGCCACCCAAAACGTTCTGTCAGGGTGACCCTGATTTCCATGTTGCCAAAACCAATGGTCACCTTCAGCTCACCAGCAGCATCTGGTGCAGTTATCACTCCTTCCTTCTGGCTCCAGAACAGCACATTCTCCTGGTTTTTCTCTTCTCATGCTGTAGTGAATTCCTCCTAAATGTCCTCTGCCAGTTCCTCCCCAACCTCTAGACACTGGTGCTCCCCATGCACCTGGACCTCTTCTCTGTCTACACTGGCTCCCTGGGTGTTCTCGTCCAGCATCATGGCTTTAAATACCACCGCTATGCTGCGACCCCCGAATTCGTATTTCCAACCCACACTTCTCCCTGAACTCCAGACTCAGAGGCAAATGCCGGCTCACCAACTCCACCAGGATAGCTAACAGGTGCCCCGCACTTAACCTACCCGAAGCAGAACTGCCCGTCTTTACCCCAAAACCTTCTCCGACTCTAGTCTTTCTCACCTCAGTTAAAGGTAACTCCCATCTGTCCACTTTCTCCAAAAGCTAAGTGGCCTTTGAGTTCTCTCTTGTTCTCACAGCCCACATCCAGACCCATCAGCAAATCCTGCTGGACAAACCGTCAAAATACATCCAAATTTCTAACTCACTGCATCCATGGCTAGTACACCGTGCAAGCCCAGAAGCTGGTCTCTGCAGCTCTGCCCTTGCCCCTCTCGTGCTCTCTCAACACCAGGGCCCAGTGAGCTTTCTAAAACTCAACCCAGGGCTCAGCACTCCCCAGCTCAAACCCTCTAAGAGCCACACCCTTAAAATGGCCCAGGAAGGGAGTCCTACGTAACTGTCCCCACTTCCCTCTTTCCCTCTCAAAGTTCAGGTCCTGTTATTCTTCCCTTGATGCCTCCTAACTGTTCCCCAGACAGCGAGCTCTCCCACGGGCCCCTCCTCACTCACCTCCCCTACGTGTGTGCAGGGCTCCATCCCTCAAGAGTTAAAGTCTTTGCTTAACTGTTCCCTTCACAGCGAGGTCCTCCTCGACCAACCAACTATACCTGTAACCCTCCACCTCTACCCCAGCACGCCCCGTCCTCCCTTCCCTACCTTATTTTCCCCCAACACCTACCCAACTACCGTATATTATATATGGCTGCTGCTTGTTACCCCTCTGCCCACCACATGCCAGACCCCCGCAATACAAGCGATCTCGACAAGGGCAGGGATTTTCACTCTTTTTTCACACTGACGCCCTAGCGCTCACAACAGTGCTTGGCATACAGATCATCAGTACATATCTGCTGAATGAGTTCCCCAACACCAGCTCAAAGGCTTTCCACAGTCGCCCCCCAATTAAGATTTAAATAACTTCAAACCTTGAGGATCAGCACAGTAACCACTGCAGGTTAAGGGGAAGAGAAGGGGAAAAGGCATCTCGCCAGACACTGCACACCGAGCCCCGCCTCCCCGGCTTTTCTCCCCACGTGCCGTTCCAAGCGCTAGCAGGATAAAAAAAAAAAAGAACAGGAAGGAAAAAAAGGAGGACAAATGGCAATGACAGGAGTTGTACTCGCTCAGAAAGATGTAGGAATGACAGATGTTGAAGCGGTTGTGGGCACATGGGGATTTATGACATCTCCATTTTTCTAGATATTTAAGGATTTCCATAATAAAATACTGAAAATTAAAATAAAAAAATTTTAAACACAACAAGGCAAAGTTGCTCCGAACAGCAGGATACTGCCAAACCTCAATCCCACCTGCTCACAGTAAGCATTCCTGGGTATTTCTGACTTTACCATTACCTCTTCATTGCCCCCTGGTAGTGGTAATTAACTCCCAGACGGCCTTCTTGTTTATAAAATGGAAATAAGTATTTTCTATTTTCCTCTTCTCTCATAAAAGGAATCTTTCAGGATTAAGATCTGTTTACAGGTAATGAAGCTGGATACGGTTTACCAGTCATATGGATGCCAATGGCTAATATAATTAAACAGGTATTTCCTTGGCTCTTACTTGGTGACATAAAAAAGAGTTGCATGAGGTGCTATAGGAACTCTTATGTTCTGCTGCTGCTAAGAACATAAAATGTGTACACATTCTGGAATGGAAAACTGGAAAAACAAGTTTCATTATCTTATAAAGCTGAATACGCACAGACTCTAGGAACCAATACACATGCTGGAGAGACGCACACACAAGTCCAGAAGACAAGTGTTTGTGGTAGCACGCTACATCACGGTAATCAATTACAATCCAAAGTCCAGCACTGGGAAAATGCATAAACTGTGCTGTCTTCATACAAAGGAAGATTATACAACAGGGAAAATAATGAAGTCTAAGAAAGGACATGCACGAATCTTACAAACACGTGATGTGAAAAAAGTTACAGAAGATTTTCCACAGTAAAGTAACATTTCTACAGAGCTCAGAAGCAGGAAATCAAGACACTATGGTGTTGAGGAATATCTATAGATGAAGTAAAACCACTTTTAAAGTGCATGGAAGTGATAAAGACAAAAGTCAAAATAAGGAAGCAAAAGGGGGGATTGAGGAGTAACAGGTACATTCATTCTTAGGTTGGGTAATAAGTTCACAGGTGTTTGATTATTTGGCATCATAACGTATATAAAACCATCACACACTCGTGTGTGTGTGTGTGTGTGTGTGTGTGTGTCAAATATCACAATTTTCCGAAGGGTACCCGTGACCCAGTCCTGCTCTTGAAAGCACTAACCCTATTAAAAAGTCAAAACATGTCAAATGAACCCAAATTTATGCCCTTAAGGAGACGAAAACCTTATAAAAAGTTACTGTTATGTGTACAGCATTTGGTTTCACTGCCATTATTAAAAATATCAGAATCTAGAAACTAGCTTTAAAATTTCATAAGCATATATTAAAATCTAATCCCATCAATGTTATCCTATGATTCCCTAGGATTCTCAAGTAGCAGATTTCTAAAATTCCAAGTGAAACTGGTGGTAAGGACTGGGAATCAAGGCTCTTCGTTAAATAGTGTCTCTAGTGTCCGTGGTCTTCAGCTGCTGTCTTCCATGCATCTTTGTTTGAGAGAACAAAAAGCTCAACGCTTCTACTACCACTATACTTTCTGTATGAAGTATATTCTATTTAAAAGGTGCTCAGAGATGAACATATCTGAAAACAAGTAATTATGAAATTACTACCATTCTTGTGCTTTAGCTTAATCTCTGCAACATCTAGCAGAGTGGCCATTAGAAATGCATCTTGCTTAAACATATATGAAACAGGGATCATTTTCATGTCTGGAAATTAATGAGTGAGCAAAAATTTAAAAAAACAAAAAACAAAAGCAAACAAAATCACATTTCAAAATAACAGTAACCAGCAAATGTAAACACTATGACGTCAGCTCCATGAGGGCAGACGGTCTGCGCCTTCGCTATGACATCCCCAGCACCACCAGGGGATACTTGGTCCATATCTGCTGAATGCATGAGGTGATCCTTTTATTTAAAAGGTCAGGAATTTCCTCTCATTCTAACCACAAACCATATACCAAGCAAGACACCAACAGAAACTATGTATCCTCACCATCTTGGGCACTGGAACCTTTCAACATGCAAGTGTGCAATAACTTCAACAGGACCTGGAGGCATCTGTCAGTTTCCAGCAAGGGCATGTAGGCATTTGTACCAAACTTCATAAGGGATTCCAGAAGAGGATCTAAGAATATCCTTAATACATTCTGTGTTCTCCGCTTTTCACTAGATATTAAAAGACACGCCCAAATCAAGCATTTCAAAAGCATGAAGAAATTATTTTCCATCTATAACTTGTGGAACTGGTTAGCTCCTGGATTCGATGAGGTAGAATTAGTCTCATGGATGATCTGGACACCTATGCACCTCCTGGGACTGATCTTCCCCTCTGGCCTCCTCGCTGACCTCTCAGTCTATGTTTTCTCAGTAAATTCTCTGTGCGCTTGCAAAGAAAAGCACAGGGAAGAACGTACCACACTCGACTCTAGGCACAAGTAGGAAAGAGATCCTATACCCACTTTATTTGTAAATTAAAATGCTTAGACCCTGCTACAATAATTCAAAAAAAAAAACAACAAAAACAAAACATAACTAGTCACAGAAACGAGACATTAAAAAAAATACAAAGAATTAAGGGTTTATAAAAAACCATCATAACCAACTTTCATACTAAAACTTTGTCTACAAAAGAGATTCAATGTTAAATCAAATTAACTGCGTATCATGTAAATACACTAGCAAATGGTACCGCTTTTTGCAATACTTATAATCTGGTGAGAACTAATTTGTGCATATTCTCAAAATATGAGTTTTATCTTTATAACACTTAAAAAAAATTACACGTTTTACAAAGGGGTCAAACCCTGTAAATTTCTTTACCTAATCTTATGCTAGAATCTTACAACCTATTCTTCTAACATTCTTTTATAAAACCAGTGATTACTATATATAGTTTTTCTGACCTTCTCTAACAGTTGAACTTACCTAAAAAGACTAACAAGCCCCTATTCCTATCAATTTATTGTTAATTTTAAACATTTCTCTAGCATACACACTGTGATCAATTCCATACCTTTACACCTGACTCAATCACGGAAAAGTGTGAATAGGCACCATAAATCTGATTAGCCTTTTTTTTTTTTTTTAAGATTTCTTTGCAAGTTGGGAAACACTTACCTGTACTGAGTCTTCATTCCTTCCACATCTACGGCCAGCAAGACCATCATTGCAACAAGTTTGGCTTCAAACCAGTCAGGCATAAGGCAGTCTTCTCCCGCTTAAATAACAAGAGTTGAGGTTTGCAAAGCATTAACAAAATCCTTCAAAGATGATGTTTCAAGAAGAAAACAGCCAAATGATTATGCTTTATCAATATCAAATTATAAGCACGGAGTTGAAATGGAGATGAAATGCAGAAGAACACTCCTGGGCATAGCTCACTGTTACAATGAGAGCGGTAGTGAGTGGTATAAAATGGCACCATGCCCTCATCTGTCTGGGGAATAAGAGAAAATCCCCCAAGGAAAGACAACCAGGCTGAGCATGAAGGCTGGGAACGAGTACAGTAGGTGAAGGCAGGCAAGGCTTCCCCAAGGAAGGCAGAGCATGCCGGAGGTCCTCTGGAGGACAGAGCGTGCCACATTCCAGGGGATGGATGGATGCCTATGCAGCAGGGCATGGGAATGGGAGGGAGTGCCAAAGCTGAGGTGACACAGACAGCCAGGGAAGAGACCAGGGGACTTAGTGGGCCATGCCAAGAATTCCTTGACCCTAAAGGCTAGGGGAAGCCACTTTAGGTTAAAGTGAAGGCGTAGAAAGAAAGGGAGGAAACATTTGTAGATCCAAATTAGTAGTTTAAAAAGACTTCTCCAGGTACAATGTGGGAGATTGTAGCGGAAGCAAGAGGAGATTCAAGGTGATGGGTTAAGAGGCAATTCTAGTTATTTCAGTTGAGAGGAGAAAATTGCCTAAAATGTAAGCAGGAGGACGATGGAGTGGGTATGGACCCAAAGGCTCTGGAGCCTTGGACCTGTGTCTGAGCCCCGGTCCTGTGCTCCTTAGCTGTGGGGCCCTGAGACAACTGCTTGTCCTCGCAGAAAGCTTAGGTCTACACTGAAACTAACATAACAGTACGTGTCAACTACACTCAAAAAAATAAAACAAAACAGAACAAAAACCTAAAAAAAAGAAAGTTTAGGTCATCTATGGAATCAAACTAACCTATGACTCGCCTTGGGTTTCTTATAAAAATTAAATTTACTCGAAGTTTCTAGAATTAGTTCTGGAAGACAGAACATAGTTAACAGATAAAATGAATATTTTCCCATCTCTAAAAGCCAATTAAATGAAAATAAGCCATGAATAGATTTCTTTTTCATTCATGGTGTATTATTATAGCAAGATCACACTTTTCACCTCAATTCCCAAGAAAAATTTAGGTAAGAGATCTAGTTTTCCAGTCCAGTAGTTTAAATTAACTTAAACCAGTTTTCTTAAATGCTCTAATATATTTTGGGGGTAATTTAATATATTTTAACATAAATTTACTGGAATAGAACAGAAGACAGTAGTAAAAACACACTTGCATGTAGGACAACTCAGTTAAAAAATACAAAAGGATAAACTTTGTTATATATTATTTTTTAAAATGCTTTTATAAAGGCCACTTAGTTGCCATCAGTAAAAAATCTATTTTTTTAAAAAAAATCCCAATGTCGGTGCTATCCCGGAAAATGGAGTAGGCTAAATTTGTAAGTGTCGTAAAGACGAGTTACTGAAACTTGTTCTTGGAAACATTTTTCCTCACATTACTGCTTTCTACCCACCCGTACACTGAAGTCCTTCCTAAGCACAGACTAAAATGAAGTCATTCATGACGGTCCTGGAAGCAGACACCCTGGACCTCACGGTGGGGGGGGGGGGGGTTGCTACTCCAGCAGCAGCAGCAGCAGCACCTGCACACGTGGAGCGCTCACGCACGTGAGCAGGAAGCCCTGGCCTGCAGTTCGACACGTGGGGGAGTGACCAGCACACGCGGCGGTCCTCACTGCGGCTAAGCCGACGGTTCTCACTTCCTTCAGCAAAATACAGCAGGGTTCTAGAACCACAGATTCTGCTTGAAATCCCAGGCAACTGTTCACCTTGGATACCAAAAGGGAAGGTTATAAATCGGAAGCGTAGTGGATTTTATTTTTTCGAAGATTTTGTTTATTTATTTGACAGAGAGACACAGGAAGAGAGGGAACACAAGCAGGGGGAGTGGGAGAGGGAGAAGCAGGCTTCCCGCTGAGTAGGGAGCCCGATGTGGGGCTCGATCCCAGGAGCCTGGATCATGACCTGAGCCGAAGGCAGACGCTTAACGACTGAGCCACCCAGGCGCCCCTGTAGGGGGTTTTTAATGGCTTCTGATGTCAAGGAATGCCACCGTACCAGACCAGTAATGACAGAGTGCCTTGCTCTTCCAGTGCAAGCCACTCTGGCAGGTCTGTCTACTATGGAGTGCTCCCCAAGTACCCGGCCACCAGCGAAGCAAATCCATGCTACAGAGTGGCGGCTCTCAAACTCCTACCTGGTGTAGAATCACCTGGAGGCTTTGTCAATACAGAGGGTAAGCCCCCACCCAGAGTTTGATTCAATAGGCTTGGGACAGAGCTGGAAAATTTGTTTTTCTAGAGTTTCCAGGTGATGTTGGTGTTGCTGGTCTGGAAACCATACTCTGCAAACCACTGAGGGAGAATTCCCCTTTTCACTCACTGAAGCTAGAAAAGTGGAGGCAACAATGGTTTTAAAGAAACAAAAGAATCGTTGGCTATTACGAATCACCTTAATGCATTTTAGCCCCAAATCACTGGTCAAATCTTGCTACCATGAATTTTAAACAGTGAGTATAATTCTAGAAAATGCAAGCTAGGCTGCAGTGTTGGAGAGCGTACTAGGCTCGTCCGGGGCATGGAGGAGAGAAAGGTGAAGTGGAGGGGAAGGATTAAAAAGAGGTATGAAAACACTTTTGAGCCTGACAGATAAACACATTACCTTGCTATGCTGGTGGGTTTCCTATAGACATAGGTCCAAACCCATCACACGTATAGTTTAAATATATACAGTGTGATGTAAGTCAATCACACCTCAATGCTGTTTTTAAAATTTGTTGTACAACTGCAATATACTACTTCTTTCTTGGTTACATTTTAAGTAGGCACATCATTTAACTACAAAATCTTGATACCAAATATCCTGAGGGACTGCTTAAGTATACATTTCTTCAAATGTATTTCCCTCTCTGATTAATCTTAGCACGTCCAAGGTCTGACAAGCCTTCAGTGCTACTTCCAAACTATGTTTCACTTCCTGTGATTCAGAAAGCCTGCCCTGAAAGCTCTTCAGCATTTTTTTGTTTATAGGTGATGCTGGTTTTGAGTGGCTTTTGCCGCTATTGCTTTGTTTTGTTGTCTTGCGTACCATGTGTCCAACACGGTGTGCATACCTACATGTATGTGTATTACCCCATATCCACCCTTACTGCCTACCATTCCTTCTTGGGCTCCATGCCACGGACAGATACATAAATACACAGACAGACGCCTACCTACTTTCAGCTCCCTGGATGCAAGTTCATCCAAGCCTTGTGGGATACTCCTTTCTACTTTTCACCTTCATTTCTGCCCACTGGTCAGAGGTCACCCATCTGGTAACCTCCCACTACTGGTCTACCGTTCCAAGTAGGTACTGCTTTCACAGGTTCCCCAGCCTGGTGCTGACTATGTCTTTCAAGGCACTGTGCTGGGATTATCTGCTTACCTATCAACTACCTTGCTAGATGATGCTCTGAGAGCAGGGGATACAGCTTTTATCTCTGACTCCAATGCCCAGCTCTTAAAACACACTTGATATATGCCTGCTTAATCAACAGTGCAAAATCTATCTGTACTAACTATGCCAAAACTCAAAGAAAAAGCTACTTTAGATGTAGAACCTGACTGAAAATAGTATTTTGGCCAATAAGTCCTTATATAAAAACAAAATTGAATAGTGCATGTATTTTATGCTCAGAAACTCAAGCTAAATTTTGTTTGCTTTGGAATTTACTAACTTGCTCTGAAAACTACCCCAGTAATTGCTAATTAAACTTTATGAAGGCACTCAGCCAAGCGCATTAAAAGTCAAACAAAAATATTAAAAAACACACAAATGCCTCCCCTTTGCACTTGAAATCAAGTTTTAAGTTTTTAAAAAACTTAAAATAGCCTATTATATTAAACAGTATATTTAAGTCCTAGAAATATTAAGGAAAGATTCTAAAAATCTTGTTTCATCTGATTCTGAATATTTACTCAGATCTGATGCTGTTTTTTACTTTGAATTATAAAACAAGTTCTGAAGACATTTTAGGGACTTTAATGTATGTTTACTCTAGTAGGGATGAAACTTTACTTTTATAGGCCTAACAAAAGAATCCTCCAAGTAACAACACAGAGAATTTACTAGATAGAGGGAGAATGAAAACATGAAAGAGAAATGTTCTAAGAAGGAAAAACAGATAAAGTCATGTATTTCGGAAGGATAATTATCTGATCATTTAAAACCTATTCCATGATCAGATTAGAGAAATCAGTACATGAAAATGACTTGGTCTGAGACAAAGCCAGGAAATCTCAGACATGTTAAATTCAAAGATGCAATTTACCCAAATTATCAACTAAGGACTTTAATGAAGAAGAAGCATTAGCAATGTAAAAAGAATCCTAATTAATGAATCTGCTAATAGTTCTTCCCTCAATGCAGTCTTACACATTTCCCTAAAGAAGCTGGAAAATGGATCTTGACTAAGTTATCTGGTAAAAAGAAAAAACTAACAAAACCATCCTTTCAAACATAATTTTTCTCTAAAACTACATTTCACAATCAGTTCATACTACATGTAATGTTTTGAAAACAAACACACAAAAGATGCACAGATTTATCTACAAATATTTCCACTTACAGAGGCTTTAAAAACACATCTGCGATATCTAGCCCATGAAGATTCAACGATTGTAAAATAAATTTGTTTCTGTCCAATTCCTACTCTGGCAACTTACTAGTTTCTTAAAACATACAAAAGTAGTTTAAAATCTCAAGTCCTAGACCAGATAAAGTACAAGTTAGGAAACATATTTTTACATTCCCTTTATTCACATTATTTGGCTGAAAATACGAGTTTGATATCAGTAAATTGGCACACGTTTGGTTAAGCTTCTATCTGGACTGAAGAAACTACTTAAAAGTTCTTTGAAAAGAATTTGGTGATATCAATCCATATAAATGATTTCAGACTTACTTACTTTCCCAAGCAGGTGACTTAATATAATCTCGAACTAGGTTCTTCACGTAAGCATTTAAAGAGGATGTCTCAGGAAGTCCAATGGAAACAGAAGTTGAGACTCGCCTAAAACAGCTTTCATTAACACGCAACCAATCACAGAGCTAGGAAAGAAAATAGTTATTACTTTATTTTAAAAACCTAACTGAGCAAAGGGTTTCTAATTTCCCTAAGTCAATTTTCTTTCTTCCACGATAAAGTGAATTTAAATATCTGAACGCAACAGGGGCGCCTGGGTGGCTCAGTCACTTAAGTGTCTGACTTCAGCTCAGGTCATGGTCTCAGGGTCCTGGAATCGAGCCTTGGGTTGGGCTCCCAGCTCAGCATGGAGTGTGCTTGTCCCTCTGCCCCCCTGCCCCGCCCCCGGCTCATGTCCTCTCTCTCTCAAATAAATAAAATCTTTAAAAAAAAAATGTGAACACAACAAAGTAACAGAACATTTAGTCATGACTGAGTCCTACAGACAGTGCAGATAGAAAAAAATGTGTATCCGTATATATACGTATGTGTGTGTATATCTACACAGGAATGTATAAACTTCACTTATAGGCAAGAATTTTTAAAGTACCTAATATATAGCGCACATTTTAATAAAGTTTTCTAAAGAACATTTCTGTGAAAATTGACACATTATGTAAACCAAATTACAACCTTAAATTAAATTAAAATTCATTTCTGCTTCCTATACTAAAACAAGGATATGTTTGCTTTTGTATTAATTATAATTAGTTCCTACCCTCCTCACAAGTCTACTTTCTATCATATGTGCATTTTAAAATATATTAAATAAAAAGAGAAATACTAGTCCTTCTCTGTGGCAACTTTTAGAAGATTTGCAAAACTCAGAGTTCCAAAATTCATCTTTGGTCACATGTAATTGTAAATTTTGTTTTGAAATTGAATTATGTTCTCAGTTTTGTTTTCATAGCATATCTCTTACTGTACAAATTCAACATATGAATTTAAATACGAAGTAAATAATTATGAAATAAGTCTTTCTAAAAAGTAAGAACTTTTTAAAAAGTATTCCTTGCATTAGGGTTAACCAAAATTACATATAAGGAGACAATAATACATCACTTGACCAAAGACAAACTTGATGAACAAATGAATCAGTCAAGATTAACTGACATCCCATCAGTGCCAATGAATGAGCAGTTCCGTAACACTAGAAGTTGCTCTGTGTAGGTCTTTATCAAGTTGGATCATCATAAAATCTAACTGTAAGGTCAGCCAGGATACTGATCTTTCGACAGGATATACTTTTTCTTTATATTTCTCTCAAACTGGCCAGACTAAGTTTCTTAACTATTGCTATAAGATGTGTGAGGTTTTACAAATCATGCATTTCCCACAAGCACCATCCTATTATAACAAAACTGATAAACTCAAATTCATATTTGTTTCTTCTATAACTGTCACAAGATTCTGAATGTTTTCTCTCCAAAGAGTTTTCATGTCAGAATTATGGTTTAAAATGGCATCTACCTAGCAGTCTCTGGGAGACAGGTTCCCTTGATTTCCCATTAAAAGACAAATCTCAAAAGTTTATTTGCATACTGCCAAGACAAGGAGAAGATGCCACAGAGTGGGAGAAAATATTTGTAAAAGACACATATCTGGTAAAGTATTGGTTCAAAACATACAAAGAATTCTTAAAACTTAACATTAAGAAAACAACCAACCTGATTTTTAAAAATGGGCAAAAGATCTAAACAAACACCTCCCCAAAGAAGATATACAAAGAGCAAACAGTATATGAAAAGATGCTCAGTATCATGTCACCAGAGAATTGCAAATTAAAACAACAAGATACCACTACACACCTCACAGAGGCTGAAAGCCGAAACACTGACAACACCAAATGCTGACAAGGACGTGGGGCAACAGGAACTCTCCTTCACTGCTTGTGGTAATGCAAAATGGTACTACCACTTTGGAAGACTATTTGGTAGCTCCTTAAAAAACTGAACATTTTCTTAACATATAATCCAGCAACTGTGCCCCCTGGTATTCATTCAAATGAGTTAAAAAGTTATGTCCATACAAGAACTTGTATGTGAATGTTTATAGCAGCTTTATTCATAATTGCCAGAATTTAAAAACAACGAAGATGTCCTTCAGGACATAAATAACCAAACAGTGGTACATCCAACAATAGGACGTTATTCAGGGATAAAAATACATGAGCTATCAAGCCATGAAAAGCCATGGAAGAACCCTAAATGCCTATTTCTTAGTGAAAGAAGTTAATCAAAAAATGCGTCATAGTATAGGATTCCAACTATATGACATTCTGGAAAAGACAAAACCATGGACACAGAGAAAACATCAGTGGTTGTCAAGGGCTTGGGGGTGGGGGGCGGTGGCATGAGAGAAGAGAGGGATGAATCAGTGGAGCAGGGGGGGATTTTTAGGGCAGTGAAAGCTAACTGGTGTGCCCCATTAGTGCAAGATGTTAATAACAGAGGGGTGGGGGGATGAGGAGGTGTATGGGAACTCTCTGTACTTTCTGTTCAATTCTTCTGTGAACCTAAAACTGCTCTGAAAAATAAAGTCTATTAATTTAAAAACTTACTTAGCTTGAGCTACATGAAATTGCCATTTCCTCAGTTTAAAAGTGACTAAATATCAATGATCTTATATGATTCAAAATAGAGATTAACACGATAATGAGAACACTACTACATTGCAAGTTAGACACTACAGCCAAGTCTACACTAAGGGACGTGTGTGTGTGTGTAATTGCTTCTATTTTTAAACCAAAAGAATTAAAGTTTGGGTTCAGCTATGAACCACCTTGGGTTTAGCTATGAACCACCAGACGTAAGCTTCCTGAAGACAGTGGCCATGTTTATCCTGCTGACCATGTATTCCTGAAACTCAGCTCAGAGCCTGCTGTGTACAAGGTGTCCAACAGTTTTCAAAGAATGAAGACATAAAGAGAGAAGCAAACCTACCAAAACAAAGTTAAAAAGAAGGAAAAGTATCAAGACAAGTTACTGAATTAGAGAACGGAGAAAATCAGGAGAACAAATTAGGAAATCTAGGGGGGCTGCTTGCTAACAAACAATAAAACAACATCTGGCTGGTCAAAGGGGAAAAGACCATAATGGTAGAGTGTGCTTACACTCAGTGTGGACCAAGCATAGCCTGAAACATCTTCACATGCATTTTCTCAATGAAACCTCACAGCTCATACCATATACCGAAATAAATTCCAGATGGATTAACCACAATTTACAAATCACACATATCAATGCAATGAATAGACCTCATTTGAACACTTGAACAAAATGCAAAGAACAAACACATTTATTGGACATCTAGAGCAATTTAAACACCAAATATCTGAAATCAAGAAATGATCGTTAACATTTTTTAGGTATGATAAGAGCCTATTTAGGCCCTTTGAAAGTCTTTATCTTTTAGCAACACATATTTCCAAATGAAATAAGATCTGAGACAAAAGTCCAACAAAAGGAACTGATTGAATAAATTCTAAAATATTTTTAAATATTACATAGTGGAGATTTAACAACATGTTAAAATGCTCAAATGTATGTGAAGATGAAAAATAAAATTTGGAACAGTATAATGGTTACTTTGTTTAGAAAATCATACACGTTAATACATCACTTTAAATATAAGCCTATATAGTGAGAAAGCAAGACTATGTGTACTGAAAAAATTAATAATTAAGCCCAAAATTCTGGATTTAATTTGATCGTAGACATTATAGGTGACTTTTATTTTCTTTATATGGTTCTGTATTTTTCAGATTCCACCTAATTAGATGCATTATGATCAAGAAAATAAAATCAAATTCTAATTTTTAAAGACCCCAATTTTCTTTTTCTTCATTCCCTCCATTACCCTATTCTATGCCCTTATGATTTCACACCTGAATTATTTTAACACAGTTCAAGCCGATTTCTCATTTCCCTCTGTGCGTACACAGATGGACTTGCCTCCTAAAAGAAATAATCAATCCCCGCCCTCCGTGATCTCTTAGGTACTGGAGAAATAGAATTCTTTTTTAAAAAAGCTCCCTGTCCTCAAAAACCATAACCTGTAGTGGACACAGATCAGAATTCAACGAGCCATATGATGGGTAAGAGCTAACAGGAAGAGCGTGAACTGAGTTCCAGAGAGGAGGAAGCACACCCCCGATGATCCCATGCAGAAGAACAGCCCCGTGAGCCTGCAGGACCATCGCGAGGAACAGCACTAGTGCAGGGTCTCCACGAGAACAATGGCTGCAGAGAGGGAAAGGCATTTAGGATTTCATGATGGGTTTGATGCATAAAGTCAGGAAGAATCAGGAATTACCAAAATGTCAGACTCAGGCAACTGGGTAGATGGAAGTGCCATTAACAGAAAAAAAAACAGAAAAAGAAGGTCTGTGTCACTGTTTTTGAGTCTAACATCATCCTTACTCCTGGTCCATCTCATCCAGAATCGAGATCTGCCCACAAGCACTACCTTCCCTTGTAAGTCTATCTCTATCCCATTCTCCAGTCTCCCCATAAGATTCTCAGTACCATTATTACTTCGGTTCACTCAAAGCAAATACACAGTATTTAAAACTTCTGTTGGTAGATAACAAAGCCATCACTATATTTTACATAAGTGACTAGTGAGTTCAATTAGAAAACAATTTTTTCTAACTTTTCAAAGACTTTATCATTAAATTATTTTCCATCTCACCTCTGTCCACAATGAGGTTCCTCGTCCTAAGGACTCCTCTTGTCTCAGAGACATGAGAAAAGCTGAAACATCTGAAAGTGACACCTTCTCCTACAAGGGGGGAGGTAGGGGGAGGGTGTCAGGGCAGTTTAAAAAAATTACTCATTTAAAAATTTTTAATAAAATGAAATCACTGTAAAAGCAAGCTAACATACCATTTAAAGTAGAATACTACTACTTAAATCAAAAGAAAGCTTTTAAAAAAAATTCGACTTTAGAAAAGATACTGACTACAAGCAATCAATATGTTATTATATAAAGTGAAAGATTATTTTCTAAGTCTATGTTCCTTATGATCAAGAGACAAGATGGTCAGAGTCTAAAAGCAAAAACAAAAACATTCTATAAGAAATTATTTATTACTTAAGTTGAAAAGTGAAGCTTACTTTCAAAGCCATGAAAATGACCCCCTGTCTTATGAAAACCACAGAAGTCTTTTCATTCCCTTAAGGCTGTACATCTTGAATTAAGATACCCTGTTCTAGGCCAGGTGTCAGCAAAACCACTCACAGCTCTTTTGTAAATAAAGTTTTAGTGGCACATAGCCACTTTATTTATAAACTGTCTATGGCAGCTTTTAAGTAATTGTAACAGAGACCATGGGATGCGCAAAGCCTTAAAAAATGGACTTTTTCTGGACCTTCACAGAAAAAATTTGCTGACGCCTGTTCTCAGCAAAGGTAGTGAAGGGGCTCTGTAAAAAAAAGATACTACAGACTCCTTGAAAATCAATTTACAGGAAGATGTCCAGAAAAAGTATAGAGGAAACCAGGCAAAAGCTTCCAAGAGTCCTCTCCCAGTGGAGTCACCCAAGATGGGTTTAATTCCCCCAGCAACAAGCCGTGATAACGTGTGAACTGCTGTCTACCAGGGAAGCTCGTTACAGACTCACTGCTCAGGGTTTTTACTGGGAGTTGGTCCTACAGGCACCTCTGCTGAGCACCTACCAAGATTCCAGGCTCCGAGAAGGAAAGCAGGTATTAGTAAAACCACACTGTTTGTGTAAACACCGGGCACAGTCCATCACTCTTCCTAGTTACCACAGGGCAAACCCTCCCGAAATCCCTGTTCTTGGCCTCCAGCAAGGGCCAGCCGACCTCACGAGCAGGGCTTTCTAATGACAGCATCACAGGCCTGCTACATTGACACGTTTTTGCACACTTACTCACGGGGAAAGACTTGTAAACTGGTTATCTTGAGTAAAAAAGATAAACTTACCACATCTACCAAATTCATAGCTGTTTGAAGAAGATAGCACTGAGCTGCCCCTCTGAGTAGAATCTGATGGGTGATCATAGTGCACTGAAGAACATCCCTGACGTCAAAAAACAAAAACATGCATTTCCATGTTCCCAAAGACAGTTCTGATAACTTGTAAATACTGACAAGCTGATTTACAGTATCCACAATTCCCAATGTAGAAAGTCGCAGTTCGTACATCTTCAAAGCTATTATTTCCCAATAAGGTCTCTGGTAGAGCTCAATTTTAATATGAAATATATCTCTTTCAAAAGACTGTAATTAAGACACTATTAAAATAAGAACTTTACATTTTTTGAAATACTTTGCAATCAGTCTTACTGTTCGATATTTTATCTCTAGTTTTCTACATATCAATGTAATTTAAGAAAACCTTACTGGCCTTGTTTTAAAATGATCAAAATCCAATAGCATGTATCATGGCACATATTTAAATTAGTAATTCATAAAACAAAATAAGTCCAACCATATAAATGTTTTACTTCTTAATATAAAATTAAGAGCTCAGAAGAGCTCAAATCCCAATGCCAATATTAACTAAAACCACTCACTACAGATTAAAGCAGAGGGGGAAACAAAATTTACTGATGGAAAGACTGCAGATAACCCTATGTGAACATACAAACATATGTGAACACAGAGTAAATTACCTGAGAGCAAGAAGCCCTTCTATACCCAGGGCTTTACATCTTGGGACACTTGCCAAAGCCTTAGACAGAAACAAAATGGGAATGGCACACCAATGTCTACTTGTCATCTTCTGAATAAACTTTAATAGGAAACTGCCTGAAAGAAAAGGTTTTAAAATATCACTGTTGCCAAGAATCGCACAGAAAGCTGCCCAACATCGTTAGAAGGTATGAAAATGCAAATCAAAAACCGTATGCAGAATATAAGAAACAGCGTGGAGGACCACAGGGGAAGGGAGGGAAAACCGAACGGGAAGAAATCAGAGAGGGAGACAAACCATGAGAGACTCTGAACTCCAGGGAAACCAGCTGAGGGTGGCTGCAGGGGAGGGGGGTAGGGGGATGGGGTGGCTGGGTGATGGCATGTGATGTGATGAGCACTGGGTGTTACACACAACTGATGAATCATTGAACACTACACCAAAAACTAATGATGTACTATATGTTGGCTAATTGAATTTAAATTAAAAAAAAAAAAACCACAATGAGATAGAACTTCACACCCACAAGGATGGCTGTCGTCAAAAGGACAGACATTAATGAGTGCTGACATGGATAGAGAGAAATTGGAACTCTCGTACAATGCCGGTGGGGAGGCAGGATGGTGCACCAGGGTAGAAAACAGTTCACGAGTTAAACTGAGTTACACCAAGAACTACCCTAGGAGCCAACAATTCCACTCCTAGGTATACACTCGAGAGAACTGAAAGCATGTGTTCATACACAAACCTGTATGTGAATATTCACAGTAGCATTTTTCATAATGATCAAAAGTGGAAACAATCCAGATGTCTACCAACTGCTAAATGGATAAATAAAATGTGTGATACCTGTATAGTAGAGTATTATTCAGCCACAAAAAGAATGAAATACTGACATGGATCATTACTGGATGACTCATTCATGGGTGATGAATCTTAAGAACATGCTAAGTGAAAGAAACCAGACATAAAAGGCCACATATTATAGGATTTCATTTACATGAAATGTCTAAAACGAGCAAATCTGTAGAGAAAGGAGATTAGTGGCTGACAGAAGCTGGTGGGAAAGGAGAATGGAAAGGGAATCAATGATGGGTGATGAAAATATTCTTTCTGGGAGTGATGAAAATATTCTGGAATTAGTGGTGATGGTCGTAGAACTTTGTGAATGTACTAGAAACCAATGAAACAAACACTTTAAAAGGATGAGTTTTATGGTCTGTGAATTATAGCTCAAGAAACCTTTTGGGAAAAAAAAAATCAATGCTATTTCAATCTCATTCCTGTAAGATAAGTACTCTACTCTATTGTAGAGATTTTTTTTTTTTTTTAAAGATTTTATTTATTTGACAGAGAGAGAGAGAGCACAAGTAGGCAGAGAGGCAGGCAGAGGGAGAGGGAGAAGCAGGTTTCCCGCCGAGCAGGGAGCCTGATGTGGGGCTCGATCCCAGGACCCTGGGACCATGACCTGAGCCGAAGGCAGCCGCTTAACCGACTGAGCCACCCAGGCGCCCCTACACTGTAGAGATTCTGATAACCGTGCGGCTATAATAAAAAAAAAGTTTAAGGTGTAAGATCAATTTTTTTACTGTTAGAACCAGTCCTCTGTTGGAGAGGTTAAAGAAAAACAGAGTAAGAATTACTGATGGTAACTGGCCTCTGGTATCTGCGTATAGTAACATTAGCTCTTTCTCATACGCCATTTCCTACCTACTCTGGATCTAGTCACTAATTTTCTATCTTGAGATACCAACATACAGTGCTCCATTCTGCCTTCTCTGCTAAGATGTCATTTCTTAAAGACCCTCAAGTCACGAAATTAGTGAAGATGTCGGTTTCCTCAGATCATCACTGTAGAATGACTTAAGAAATCCTTGGAAGCTCCTGAAAGGAGCTGGTTTTATTTATAAAATAATATTTTATATTATTTATAAAATACCATATATTTTGTATCTTCCAAGTACCTAGAGCAAAACATTTAAGATACTCACTGGAAACTGCTGACTGAAAAATCTACTAAGTAAAAACTGAGTGAACATTTTACTTGCCCTCTCTTCTGTTGGACTAATTAAGTTCCCACCTCTGCCTAACGTCTCACTCATGGCACAGGGAAGACGGCGGGGTGCCGAGCTTCCACTGCACATTCAACACACTTACAAGCGTCCACTGCATGCTGGCCCTGGCCACGGACAGCAGGCGCTCAAACCCCAGGGGCGCTACCACCACCCTCTCGCTCTCCACACTGCTGACCTGGGATGTGCCAATGGTCAGCAAAGCAATCCCCAGACGGCTTACACTTCCGACTTCTGGCAAACTACAGAACATCTGAGTGGACCTTCTCCATGAACTAATCTTTAAAAAAAGTAATCAAAAGAGCCAATTTTCTAGAAACCTAAAGTTGAGATACTTTTTCATCCATGACTTCTGAGTAGATCGTTCCACTGGTCATTGTTTCCCCCTATTTGCAGACGAAATACAAAAGGAAATGTGTGTCTGTTTCATACCCAGAATTGCTTTATAAGCCACAAAGCCACAAGGGAAAAAAGGACCCAGGAAGTAGAGTTAAGTGCTCCTGCTGCTCAACAAACAAAATAACACTGGGTGTTGCTCTTTGATTACCAACTTAACTCATCAGAAAGGAAAATAAATCCCCAGTCTGAAGAAGTGGGTATTTCTAAGATACAAGGTCTACATAAAGCAAGTATATTTTTCGTTTACCTGTCAAGTTCCTATCTACAGAGGGGCAGTTTTGCCACAGTGGATATTCTGTTTACAACTTTTTCCTAAACCCAGGTCTCTCTTTCTTCAACCAATTATACTAATTTTTGGAAAGCAAATAGAGAAAACTAGAAAAGATGGCCAACGGCAGCACACGTCCTAAAATGACTTCCACGCTCCTCACGCCAATACCGGTAATACATCTTATGTATAAAGGCAAAAGTGTGTACCCAATTACAATGAACGCCTGTATAATTCTGACAAAATATGTATATTCCCGAAAAAGAAAACTATTTTGACAACACTGATTATAATAGTCATAGGATAGCACTTATCACCAATATACTAAAAATTTTAAAGCTAATAAATTAAAAAACTCTTTACTGACACATACTCTTTATTTCTTCTGGAAGAAGAGAAACATAAGTGACTAAAAACTTCTGTAATTTCAATCCCAATGGAGAACCACTTCCTATCAGCTGGCCTGGGGACCTATAGACAAATGAGGGGAAAAAAACAAATATTTAAAATTTATAAATAAGTATACTGAAACTAAATGAACTATGGCTCAAAAGTCTTTCAATAACAATCAGAACATCTTTTCCTGAACCTGCATTTCATTCTTCAGTGAAATTCTGAAGATCCTTCTGAATACAAAAACATCAGGATCTTCTAGGAAAACGGACATGAGTTAGTATTGTAACATACTAAGTAGACATGGATTTCCTTTTTATGATACCTTCCCTGACACACACTATGAATCTTGCTAAAATAGCATCATCTTAAAAAAGTCTAAAAAAGTGATCATTTTCAATCATATTTTATTGTTTCCAACATATAATCTAATGATTTTAAATCTTGAAGTATTAAATAAATAACATTCATAGAAAAACATGTATGAGTAATTAATGACTTTTGCAAGAACATTTAATTGTTAACATCTACTAAAGTCATGTCTTTTTCCTGCTATATGGTTCCACCAGGAACATTATCTGTTAATTGAACACATGAGAGTGTGAGAAAACTGAAGGCATTTCATAATAAATGTGTCTGTCGACTCCTTTAGAGGCACCAAGTAGGTTTTACTGCTCTCCAGCTGTCTAACTGCTTCACAGAACTATTCAATAGTAATGAGTTATTTGAAAACTAATTGGCAAATCAAGTGTTGTTATGCTCTTTCAATATTTATTAAATAGGATTAAATATTAGTATAACAGCACAAACTAATTTAAACGTTTTAAAGAAACTGGCAATGGGAGGGTTGTCTATTTAGAGGCATACTGAACAGAAGACTTGCAAGTATATATTTAGTTCATCAGTATTCAAAAGACCACCTAAGTTCAAAGGCAGGGGGCCATTCTGAAGGTGTAATTCAAGGGTACAGAGAACGCTCAAAAAACGAGGCTATGGCACAACACTGACAAACTCTCCTCGTTGTCTAACTGAAGAGAAGGGGCAAGAAGTGACATATTCCCGATAGTGGCAGCCTCTGTCAGATTTGGAAAGGGCAAGGTTAGTGAGCCCTGTGGCATTGGACTGGAATCGGATGTACTGCTGTGAACTTGGGGTTTTTCACATGGATGGAGGTGGATGGATGGAGAGACGGACCCTGAAACAGACACAGATCAGCAAGTATGCTCAGTAGGCAGAGCTGGGAAACCGACGTGCACCCACAGGAAGAGAAAGGGCAATTAAGCAAACATGGTGACACGGTGACATCGGGGGGGATGTGGATGAAAGGTACATGGGAATTCTTTGTATCATCCTCACAATTTTTAAGTCAAAATAAAAAGTTAAAAAAAAAAGGAAACAAGTTTAGAGTGTTGGTTATGGTTAGCCAACATCACTATAATTTCCAGGAGAGCTGAAATCAGAGCAAGGGGAAGAAAGTAAGCTCGGCGAGATGTACTTTCCATAAATCCCAAGAGTGGAAGGGTTCAAGGTAAGAAAGAACACAAAAAAAAGAAGGAACACTTGATATAACTAATAGAAGAAGAGCAAGAAGAATAACACACAAAAGGGACTTCATGGTAAGAAAAAGTTGAATGTCTATTCGGCAACACGTGTGATATACGAAATGCATTAAACAGCCTGGTCCTATTTCACAAACACATTACATTTCTATATCGAGGACATATTACTACACGGCTGCTAGATAACACAATGTTTGTTTACCTGATGTATAGAGAGCTCTCTGAAAGTGCATCCATTAATGGTCCAATAATAAACTAAAACAAAACAAAGCAAAACAAAAATGTAATTGATGTTAAGTTACAGCTGCAACTTTGAAAAGTCGGCTTGCCTTAGCTGCATATCCCAGCAGGGCTACAGACGAACTGTTCTGAGCAAAGCTGAACTCTTCCACTGTGGACTAACTCAGGGCTAATAATGGAGGGTACCTTAACTCCACCGCTACAACAAAATACGTACAGAATCTTCCCACCTGATAAAAACTGAGGAAGAGAGATCATAAAGGGCCAGCAAGGAAGGAAAGGAGCCCAAAGAAGAAATACATGGTGGAAAATAAGCATAGTTAAAAGGACAAACCAAAAGAGATAGATACTCGAGAAAATGTGAGCCCCTGTGCCTGGAAAATAAAACGGGAAAAAACTGCATCTTCAAAAATATTACAAGACATTGGGTCAAAAAAGCCTGTGTCTAGGAAGTACAGGAAGGACAGGAGATTGTGGAAAATGATACATATCAAAACACGACAGCATGTCATCAGTTAGGAAAGGTTTCCTAGGGTACCTCTAAATGCGGGTAAATTACCCTAAGTGATCATGTGACTCACTGGCACTGCAAGACCTAAACTCACAGCTATAATTCTCAGTCTCTGCTTTGTGTGATTTCTGACAAATGGAAGTACAGATGCTAATAAATGTAGCTCAAAAGGCAATCTCTGCTTAATATAGTAGCTAACAATAATTCATTGGCTCAGAACTGGGGGAGGAGCATCACTCAACAAATAGCAGTAATTCAGAGATTCAGAACTGTGAAAACAGCATCATTATGCAAATCTATAAAATGTCAATTGCTATGAGAGCCCTAGTATATATTTTTTGAAGATCACATTATGATGCAACAAATGTCTTTACCTCTCATCTCTTGACAAAGAGAGTAAGGGGGAAGAAAAAGGCCTCATTACCTCAGAAAATTCTGGTGAAAATGGAAGAATCTTTGTTTCATACAGCTCCAAAAAATGGATGACACCTTCTTTGGTCAGGATTTTATTTTCACTTTCAAACATTCTTTTATAAATACATATATGCCAGGACGGGTGAAAGAGCCAACACCCTGTGGAGATAGAACACGTGACGCTGACACTGATTCTCACACTCTGTTGCTCCACATAAACTTCAGTTACACAAGAACTCACTGACTTCGTTCTAACATACAGTGAGTTTACAGATCGATCCAAGGGTGTAACCACACTCAGGCAGTCTCATTTAGGAAGACAGCAAGCCACTTTACCACTACCACAGCGCACAGAAGTTAACTGTTGCCCCACGCACACGGATTGGACCTTCAGATTTGGGGTGCTTTCAAACAACCCTTCTGTCACCCTACTTCCATCCATTTTTCCCACAGAAATCTGAAACTGTCACTCCTCTGCTTAAAACCCTTGAATGGCTCCTCATACTCCCGGAAGAAAATCTGAACAAGGCATGAAGCAACCCCGAGAACAATGACGATGCCACCCCAGCCTCCCACAGCCACCACCCTGTGCCACGCTGGTCCTTCGGGTCCTCTGCCCCACCTCAGGCTTCTTACATGCTGCCATCTCAACTCTGAGCTCTGATGTCACTCCTGAGGTGGGCCTTCCCTGATGACCCTAAGGGATGGCCTCATTCACAGTATATTCTATTTCAGTCCCTTGTTTGGTACCTTCAGAGAACTTACGTTACTTTTTTTTTTTTCATGGAAGAGACAAAAATTAAGTGAAAAATAGTACATCTGTCTCCCCACTTTATCCCTAGCACTTGGCATATACTGGACACTAAGTGAATTTCTATTAAATTTATAAATGAGTGGGAAAAAAACAAACAAACCCAAAACAAAATAAATATGTACCTCAGAGATATTTTTTAACTCTTTTGAATTATCTTTTAATTCTTCTAGAAAAAAATTATTCAGCATTTTTAACTCATGGCATTCTAGAAATGAATTGGTCCATTATTTGTAATTTACACCAAGATGCTTGCTTGTTCAATGCTCTGGCAATGGTAATTTTTCCAAACCTGTCACTGCTATCTGATTTGGTTTGCCAAGAGCTGTGGGCAAAACATGGTAATAAGAGAATCATCTTAATAGTAAATGCATAAGTGAAGTCACAATAGGATTCAATTAAATTCTAGCTCCAGGTGACTATAGATTCTTTTTTGACTGTGAAAAAGTCAAAAAATCCCAGTGTATCAGAAAACAACAACAGCACTCGACTGGATAAAGCTCAACTCCTAGGGGTCGAACTATTAAAGTTGTAACTATCTGGAGTAGGCACTAAAACCCATTTACCAGGTTTATTCTCACGGGTAAACACGATAATACAGCAGTTGATCATTCATATGCATACAAAACACTGTCAGCCTGCATTTAGCTGTTTTGTTGAAAGAAACAGAGTCTCACAAAATAATTTTAGGAAGCTCCAGTTTCTTTCTATTTCTCCTAAAAAGCTCTCAAAACACAATGCTGATTAAAGGCTTAAAAACCATACTTAAAACTATACCTTGGAATCTTCCTAAAAAGTCCAAGATACAGAATAACAACTGAAATCCCAAAAAAGTAACAATGAAACAGAGAAAGAGAATAACAATGGAAAGCAGTTAAAATACATAATACCAAAGAGCCATTATTAACAATGTAGAGCACACCATCCTTAAAACATTCCTAAAGAGGCCTTATGTCTCAAGAGTGTATACTCATATACTCAAATGATTTCAGGCAACAGGATCTACTGCGGCGGGCAGTGGGGGTGGGGGGGGGATGCTTCATGGTCAATGGTGGGGAGGAGGCGGTAGGGGAGGCTACAGAGGGTTGAGGGGCACAGGCTGGCCATGTGCCAGTCACTGCTGATGCTGGGTGGTGAGGCTCACTTTACACATCCCTCTCCTTCTGTAAATGTTTGAAATGTTCCGTGATCAGAAGTTTACAACATTAACCATTACCGCTAAATTACAGAACACTCTGCAACCATTTAAAGGTATGTTCTCAAAGACTAAGGATACAGGTAAACGCACTTGGACACACTGCTCAGTAAGACAGAACATTACGAACGATCAGTCCAGAAGGCACATATCTGGAATGTTAACAGCTGTTCTCTTGGTAGCAGCAGATGCATATTTTCTGTTACACTTTGATGGTTTTTCCAAATTCTCTATAATGCCTAAGAGTTAGTTATAAAATCAAAGAGGGAGGAAAAAAGCTCTAAATGTATAAAAATCAAAATACAAGTAACCATTACCGTTTTCTTCTGACACTGCATATTCAAACAGACTGTTTAGCTTTGGTAAAACTGGCTTTATAACGTGGATCTGAAAACAAAAACAAAAACCCACATGAAATAAAAACTCACCTTTAAAAATTCAGATGAACTTTAAAACTTTAAAAATTCAGATGAAACTTATTTTCATCTATTGTACAATAGCAGCCCTACTACGCAGAAGGTACCTGATTCTTCCAGTTTTTATATCCTATAAATTCCGGTCTATGAGACTGAGTGTGGCAAAGCTAATGAATACGACCTAGGACAGAGTGACAGTAATGTCACATTTGTACAGTGAGTATCAAAAATCATGTCATGTAACCCTCAACTGTCCTGGGAAATAGGTAGGGCTGATAACACCAAGAGATTACAAAAAGGGCAAAAAAAAAATAAAATAATTCCTTGAGTCACTCAAGTGATGTTCAAGGCCACACGTGTAGAGTAGGGCCAGACTACTCTAGGTTAAGTTAAAGTTTCTAAATAAATTATAGGGGTCTTAGGTATCTGATTAAGGAAAACCATAAAAGTGTATTTGAATTTGGAAATGCTTTCTTTGCTCCTCATGCACATTTAGCACATGCGTAATTCTTTATTTCAGTCCACGAACAATGCCTGGTGCACACTTGGGGTGATAGCTAACAACGAGTACCCGGACAGCCAGCCCCTCAGAGGTCTGCAGCAGACAGACTGGGAGGCCCTGCACCACCACGGGTTCTCCGCGAGTGATCCCAGAGCAGCAGAGGTATCCTCCGGGAACTTGAGAAACACCTGACTTCTCAGGCCCCGTCCCCAGACCTACTGAATCAGGAACTCTGGGGACCAGACCCAGCAATTTAACAAGCCATCTAGGTAATTCTAAGGAATGTTAAAGTTTGAGAACCACTGTACTACATTAGGTCATCTTAACAGATTCTGCTCAACTTAAAAATTCTACAAAAACAAATTCAAAGTTAAATGAAAATGATTTTTCACGTTTCCACTTGCAGGACCAGTACACACAGCTCTAAGAACTAAAATAGGAAGGACGGAAGGGAGGGAGGGAGGGAGGCAGGCAGACAGGGCAATTATTTACTTAACAATTTACCTCAAATTGCCTTAAGTAACATTTTTCCTAAGTTTGTATTTCTTTGAAGATTATTCATAATGCTGAGAAACTAAAAACTAACACTTCAGAAGTAAATGTCAAGGGAAGAACAAGTAAGACTAAAACTTTTTGAGTGACAATTTAAGTCAATTAAAAGTATGCTTTAATTTCCTGAGTTAACATTCAGGTTTAAATTGCATTTATGCCAGAAAACAAAGTACATTTGTATCCTATTATGCTTTATCCAAATTGGTCTTTTTGCATTGCTTTTATAGACTGCATCTACACTGGATTTGTTAAAATATGAAAACACTTACCTGATTTCCTTCTAGAGTTTCCATAATTAAAATATAGTTTTCCCAAAACTTTAGAAGCTCATCTTTCTTCTTCTCAGACCACCAAAACAGACTTGGGCCTGATATGGTTTAAAAAGGAAAATCAGTTCCTCTTTTGTAGATTTTATAAGTTTCTTAATGACAACCATTTTTAAAATAATGCCAGTATTACCAAATACTGTATTTTCTAATAATGGAGAGTGTCCCTGTATCAAAGCCTAGATAGCAGGCTTGGGCTAACAAGAATCTCAAAAGGTTTTTTTTTTTTCTTTTAATTAAGATTACTGTTTTAGAGTTCTTGGTAAGAATCACGGATTTGAACACGTAAACCCCACTTTCTCTCCCCAAGAACCTCACTATAACAGTCGAGGATGTTTCAAAGGCAAAAACCCAGAAGAATGGCAAAAACAGGGGGGCAGACAACAGCAGTGAAACTTAGTTTGAAAATTAGAGAAAAGCCAAGCAGACTCAAGAAAAGTGAATATAAAGTGGCACATGGAAAGCCAAGAAAAAAACCTGATTTACACTGGAATATCTCCCCAGACCTAAGGAACTGGCAGCAAAAGTTACTCTGTAAGTGGTGAACAGCAAGGCTAAACTAAACAGAATTTTGTTCGGTGTGTTTAAGAAACAGATCTTCAGTGCCCTTTCCTATGCTCTGAGCAGGAAAAAGCCTGGAATTCTCTGGAGAAGGTAAAATTGTGGGTCCCTGGACTGAGATGCACTGGACCCTACTAGGGTTGGGAGTAAGTGAACCCCTTCCACCTGCCCCTTCCACCACGGAAGCCCCTCATGTCCCAGAATGCTGGCCAGGCCTTCACTATGCAGCAGCAGACTGGAAGGTCTCCATGGAATCTGGCCAGCCCAAGAAAATACTGCCACCAGAGATTACCCAATACTGTGGGGCTTGGCCAGATCACCTCGCAGTGAAGTTCACAGTCAGCAAGCACCACTTATGTGTTCAGAGCTTTAAACTTGATTTTGGGTTCCTTATTTTTTTTTTAATTAAAGATTTATTTGAAAGAGAGCTCATGAGCGAGCAGGGGGAGGGGCAGAGGGGGAGGGAGAGAAATCCTCAAGCAAATTCCCTGCCAAGTGCAGAGCTCGAACCCACGACCCTGAGATCATGACCTGAGGAGAAACCAAGAGTCAAAACTCAACCGACTGAGCCACCCAGGTGCCCCATTGATTCCTTATTCTTAAATATAAACAGGTATCTAAGGATCACCAGCCACCTGGGGAAACATCCACATTGAAGATCAAGACCAAAACAAACAGGAAATTTGGAGAGAACAAAACTAAGCCGGAGGACGAAAACCTCATGCTGTCATAAGAACAGGATATGATTAATAAGGGGACATTACAAGAACAAAAAAGATCTCATGAGGATAAAAATTGGATAGCAAAAACCAGAAACTCAAAGAAAGGACTGGAAATAAAGTTGAGTCACCCAGGAAATAGAACCAAGAGACAAAATCATAGGAAACAGGACAAAAAAGATGCTTTGATAAATCAGTCCAGGAGCTTCGCTATCCAACAAGAGAACAGAAAGCAGAGAGGAAGGGAGCAAAGAAAGTAACTCAGGAAAAGTTCCCAGAACCGAAGAACATTATTTCCAGATGGACCAGGTCCACTAAGTGCCCAGCGCAAGGATGAAAACTGACCGGTACCAAACTGTGAAACTTGAGAATGATGGGGCTCAGTCCCCACTGACTTCCATGCAGAAGAAACAGAGCACATATAAACAAACACGATTTGGAATGGTTTCTCAGCAGCTCGACAGCAAGACTGGAAGCTCGAGCTTCTAAGACAATAGATCGGAGCCTTCAAAGTTCTGAACGGAAACGTTTTCCACGCTAGAATTCTATCTCCCATCAGACCATAAATCAAATGGGATGGGAAAACAAAGGCATTTAGACACGCTTGGTCTGTTTCCACTTAGGACAGAGAAAGCTACAGAAGAACACTCCTGCCATACTGACAAAGAGAAAAGCCTGGAAAATACACACAGTCCCAACCCCCTGACACCTGAGACTACATAGTATGCCTCCAGGGGATCGGAACTCCCAAGGGCAGACAGCCTCTCTCCAAGAACACACAGGACACACAAACTGAATCTACCTCTGGGCAAGTGCAGGAAGAAGACGTGGTCACCAAAAAGTAGTTTAAAAAAATCAAGGAGCGGCACCTGGGTGGCGCAGGTGGTTAAGTGTCCGTCTCTTGGCTCTGGCTCAGGTCACGATCTCAGGGTCGTGGGATCGAGCCCCATGTTGGGCTCCATGCTCAGTGCGGAGTCTGATTCTCTCCCCCTCCCCCTGCTCACTCTCTCTCTCTTACTCTAAAATATATTTTTAAAAAAAAAAAAAAGGAAAGAAAAGAAAAAAACAATGAACATTTGTTGAGTTTTTCAAGGTGAGCTGTGGGCTAGTTTGACAGCCTAGAACCCTGGGAACCCCAAGGGAGTCTGCAACCACTCACCAGCTTATTTCCTTAGGCATCCCCCAGGTGATCTGAGAAAGACTGTGGGAAAGGCAAGAAACTTTGGAGCACATGCACGCAGGGCCCACACAGGTCTGAGAGGACAGCGGGACTAACTGGGGCAGCCCAGCCCAGCCCTACAGGAGTACAAGGTGGTGGTCAACTGCTGAAGCCTGTCTGGACCCAGGACCCTCCTCAAACAGGAGACCAAAGCTGTCTGCCCCTGGAGGAAACCCTGCCACATCCCCACACCTGTCCCAGCCCCGACACCAGGCAAACGTTGGCCACCCGAGGGGATGGAGAGAAAACCTGCTCACCCAACCCTGCACCGACAGGAGGAAACCGCCTCATGCCCAGAGTCCTGCACTGATACAAAGCAGTGGGGGGAGGCCAGGAAACCAGCAGTCAAGACCTACCACCGATAGGAGCAGAATGCAGCCACCACAGGAGAGGGTGAAGGAACTCTACACCCTTCACTAAGTAGGAGGCAAGGTTATTTGCTTGGGGGGAGGCGCGGGGGGGGGGCGGGCAGAGATGGCAAGAAAGCTGGATGGAACCCTGAGGTTCAGGCACATGGGGCCTAAGAAAAGAAAAGTGCCACCCCCCTCCATCTCAAGCCTTGCACCAAGTAATGGACATCAGCGGTCTACCCCTGAGAGAAGGACGCCATCTGTGGTGTTAGCATCAACGGCTTCAGAAAACAACACTGAGGAAAAACCTTTAGGGACTCCCAGGTTCCCACTAAACACGAGGTAGCAACACCCCACAACCACAGCAGCAACAAGATCCAAATCCAGCTTCACCATAAACGAGTGTGACCCAAGCCCCAACACTAACGGCCTCACAGAAGAGGAGCGCTCATCTCTAGACATAAAGATCTACTTCATGCTACTAAAGAGTGACCCCCTTGCCCAGAGATAAAAAAAACTCCGAGATGGCCCATGCAGAGGACTAATACAGGACTACGATTCACGTGTTAAAGGATCTACGGGAAAAGGTAGACAACCTGTATGAACAGATGGGAATGGAAATTAAGGGTCAGATGGAAATAAAAGAAATAGAAACATATCAGGGGCGCCTGGGTGGCTCGGTCAGTTAAGTGCCTGCCTCCGGCTCAGGTCATGATCCCAGGGTCCTGGGATCCTTGCTCTGCGGGGAGCCCACTTCTCCCTCTCCCCACTTGTACTCTCTCATTGTCTCTCTTTCTCTCTCAAATAAATAAATAAAATCTTTAAAAAAAAAAAAAGAAAGATTTAGACTACTAGCTAACACTTTAAGGCTGAATTATTGAGAAATACAGAGAGAACCAAATCTGTAAATGACAGAATTCCAGGAAAAACCTGCAAGGAAAAAAAAATCACAATTTACTACACAGGTCACCTGTGAAGAACATCTTCAGTCGTAACTTTGTAAACGCTGAACTCACATTTAACGGAAGTATGACTATGGCAACTGATGTTGATTTACCCAGATTACTGGAAGACAAGTACCAAAATAATCAGCTAAAAGAGGTACAAGTGGTCACTCTGCGGGGGCAAACCAGGGGTGGGCAGAGAGCAAAGACTATTGCTCATCTTTAAAACTCTGCAGAATGACTCTCTGAAATAAACGACTTTAATTTCAGTCATTTAAAATGTGTGCTCCAGGGGCGCCTGGGTGGCTCAGTCGTTAAGCATCTGCTTCGGCTCAAGTCATGATCCCAGGGTCCAGTGAAAACTCTCGTTGGATGATCACCAATTTGAGGACTGTCAAAATATTTATCTAACGTTTTAGACAAACATGAAAATCTACTCACAACTTCAACCAAATATCCATTACCAGTAAGAGGCGGCTACAGTTGAAAAGGTAGAAATTTTCTATGTATTGGGACAATTTTGAATCATTCTATTTTGGTCTTGGACAGCTCAGAAAGATGACTGAAGCGCCCTTTCACACACTGCAGTGAACAAACCAATCAACAGTAAGTACCAAATTGAAGGGAGTCCTTGCTAGTTCGGCCACTCTTGTAATAAAGGAGTAGGAAGCATAGTCCCAAAAGGTTTAAAAAAAAATTACTTAAAATCGGACTCAACCTATTAAATCAATAGCAAAAATACCCTCAAAAGGTCGACTTAAGGACCCTACATTTAACAAATTTTAGTCCCGAGAGAACTGCCAAGGGAAATTTCCAAAGAATGTGATGATTTCTAGGACAGAATTCTAACGTTCAAAACTCAATCCACTGGTCAATACAGGTAAATAATTTTTCTTGCAATTTGATGGAAGCTAACCATTCCTTCCTATTAGGACGAACCTACCACGAGATCGCTCAAATTTGGGCTGTAAAATACTGCTTGGGCTCAGTCACGTTCCTAATTTTTCCACAGGTGCAGGGTTCCGCCCTGCTTTGGGTCAGAAAGAAATGCTGACTGTTCTCAGCTGCAGTGATTTGGGTCACTTGGAGAACACCCTCGATGCGAGGTTCCCAAGGTTTCCAGGCTTTAAGGTTAACGGATACCCATTAGGCATGGATAGCGGAGAGCTGGTTTTTGGAAGCAGGAGCCCCCCAACCCCCGCGCCCCCCGCAACCACCACCACCACCACAGCCAAGTGGGGCTGGGCCGGAAGCCAAGAGGCAAGCAAGTACCGTTTCCTTCCTGGGGGCCGCAGGTGCAGTGGGTCCCCAGCTCCGCCGACACCTCCACCGCCCTCTGCAGCAGGTAGCGCGCTCGCTTGCGCGTCAGGGCGTCCTGGGCCTGCGCCAGCCCCGCCTGCACCGTCCTCCAGAAGCGCCAGGAGCGCCGCGCGTCGGGGTCCTCGTCGCCCGCTCCGGGACCGCGGTCGGCGCCGGGCTCGGGCAGCAGCCTCTCGGCCAGGGCGCTCAGCACCAACAGCTGCAGCCCGACGCGGCCCGGCCCACAGGGCGCCCCGGCCGCGACCAGCCCGCTCCATACGGCCCCCAGCACAGCCCCGCCGCACTGGCCCAGCGCCGGCAGCAGCCTCCCGGCCGCCAGCGCCGCCGCGTCCTCCGCCTCATCCCGGTCCCCGTCGGCGCCCAGCGCCAGAGCGAGGGCGGCGTGCGCCACCCGCTCCAGCAGCGGCCCGTCCTCGCGGGGCCGCAGGCAGGGCCCGACCGCCGCCAGCACCTCCACGGCCGCCTCTGCTCCGGGCGCGGGCCCCCCGGCGAGCAGGTCGCGCAGCGCCTCCTCCGCCAGGACGGCCGCCAGCTGCGGGCCCCCAGCGAGGCGGGCGCACGAGCGCAAAGCGGCGCTCGCCGCCCTCAGCACGCGCCGGGGGTGGCGGGCCGGCGGGCCGGGGTCCGAGCCGCCCGCCGGGTGCCCGCGCAGGCCCCGCAGCAGCGGCACCAGGTACCCGACTGCGACCTCGCGCGCCGCCTCCGGGAGCGCGCCCGCGCCCCCGCCGCCACCGCGCGCCTCCTCGTCTTCGAGTCGCTGCAGCAGAAAGCGCAGCGTCTCCACGCGCTCTGCGGACGCCTCCCCGCGACACAGCGCCCCAAGCAGGACCCGGGGGTCCCGGCTCTGCGATAGCAGCGTTTCCGCAAGGACCCACTCCATTTGCCGTGCGCGCGCCGCCGACACCCGGCGCCCAAATGAGGGGCCGGCGTGCGCGAGTGCGTGCGCGTGCGCGGCTGCACGCCTGCAGGGAGAGGGCCTGCATCCCGGCCCTGGTCCGGCTCAGCGCGCCCTGGGTTTCTGCCCATTTCACTGCCTGCAGCCTGATTCCTTTTTGCCCCTCCCTTACTATTTTTTACAGGAAAGGTGCCCCTCATTAAACGTTACTGTAGTATGTGCATCAACTCCATCAATTCCTAATTGGCCTGCCCCAGGGCCCTAAATCGAGTAGGCGTGCCTCTGAGCGGGGGAGGGGAGAGCCGAGGTACACCTAGGTGCACTTCACAGCCACCTAGAAGCTTATTTTCAAAAAGGCACAGGCCGGCACCCCCCACAAAGAGATTGACACAGTGGGTCTGAAATGGATTCCGGACCCTTGCAAAAACAAAACAAAACAAAACAAAACCGAAAACGTGAGAATGGTCCAGAGGCCCTGAAAATTACTTTAGCTATGTGTTAGGGGCAGGGCTGAAAAGAAGAGGCCCACCCCAGCCTTTGCAGCCAGTGCCCAAAGCGGACTGTAACGTGCGGATGTTTCTTTATACAGTGCTTGTGTTCCCCTGTGCAATCTCAAAAATTGTCCATCCCTGTATTTTCTGTTTGTGACGTCATCTACTGCTACATACAAAATCGAAGCCTCACACTAGCATGGTTTGGTTCCTGACTTAATCCCAGGGAAACTGAATCTGTGGCATGGGTTTTCTTTGCCTTCTAACCATGAAGATCTCTCCCGTAGTCAATGGAGAAGACATGATCCCATCTTCAAAGAGTATGACGTGTAATAAACATATTTGATAAGGTATAATTTAAAGTTAAGGTTACTTTTATATAATTTAAAGTCATTTTTATATTTTGGATTTTATATAAAGGTATTTAAATTTAAAGTTACCGGACTTTGCCAAGATTTTTTTCCCCATCTTTCAGTCATTCAGTTTTTCATTGACCAAATGCATAAATGGTTCTATTGTAAACCCACTCAGAATAAATATCAATTGCCTTCAACATCTAATATGCCAGTAAATATCAATTTCCCTCAGCATACATGTTTCATATACCTATCAAACAAAAGCGGACAAAACTTTCGGAGCAGATACTTATCAAATGAAGACATGCAAAAGCAGACCTCTGAAAAGGTGTTCAATATTCATTGTTAGAGAAATGCAAATTAAACCATCAAAGAGATACCACTTCACACCCGTTAGAAAGGCTAAAATTTTAAGGATTGAAAAGAGCCAAGGATGTGGAACATTGGAACTCTCATACATTACTGGTGGGTGTGTAAATGGTACACTCACTTTGGAAAGCTGTTTCTAATGAAGTTTAAGTGCACCTACTTTGTGACTCGGCAGTTCCACTCCTAGATATTTGCCCAAAATAAATGAAAACATATTACGACGAAAATGCTTGTACAGGAATGTTTTTGCCAACATTAGTCATTATAACCAAAAGTTTATTACAACCTAAATGTCCATCGATGGAGGAATAGATAAATTGTGATCTCATATAATAATGCTTGCTATTCAGCAATAGTGAGTTACTAATCCGTGCAACAATATAAATAAATCTCAAAAACATTACGTTGAACAAAAGAAGCCAGAGAACAAAGTTTACATACTGCATGATTCCATGTATGTGACATTCAAGAATAGACACAAGTAATCTTTTGGGTAGAAATGAGAATGGTACTTGCCTATAGGAAGTGGAGATTAAAACAGAACAGAACACAAGGAAACTTTCTGAGGTAATGGAAATATTTTTCTTGATTAGGGTGTTGGTCACACAGGTTTCACACTTGTCAAAAGTCCTTGAAATGAATCCTTGAAATCTAGGCATTTCAGTGCATATAAGCTTTACCTCAGTTTTAAAAAATGACTTATTAAAAACATACTCATAAATTGGCCTATGTTGCATTCCCCGTTACCTACAGAATAAAGCCCAGCTCTGGAGCATGCGCTGAAGGCTTCTCAGCATGTGGTGAAAGCCAACCCGCCTCCTAACGAATTCCCCCTACTCTGCCCTGTGTTTGAGCCACGCGGAACAAGGTGGGCACGTGGTCTCCTAACCACAGAGCTGCCTTTTCCGTCCTTGATGGTTGAGGATTTCCTTTTTCTGAAGCGCTGTCTTCCTCCAGGTCTCATTTTCTCATGACGCAGCTTCTTCCGGTTTTCTTTTCCCAGCTCTTTCTTCTCCACCTCTTTGGAGGAAGACTCCTGTTCCTCTTCCTGACCTGTTTCCAGAGTCACATCTTCAGACCCCCGTTCTTCTCACTGTATAAATTTTACCGGAGTAACTTCATTAAAACTATAGTTTGCAGGAGCGCCTGGGTGGCTCAGTCGTTGGGCGTCTGCCTTCGGCTCAGGTCATGACCCCGGGGTCCTGGGATCGAGCCCCGCCTCGGGCTCCCTGCTAGGCGGGGAGTCTGCTTCTCCCTCTCCCACTCCCCCTGCTTGTGTTCCCTCTCTGGCTGTGTATCTCTGTCAAATAAATAAAATCTTAAAAACAACAACTATAGATTGGGCTACCATTTACATGCTAATGATGGGGGAAAAATCAGTATCTCCCGCCCAGATCTCTCTCCCGAGCCCCCAGCATGTCTACCCAACTGCCTACCAGATATCCCCATTGGCATACCACTCGGGGCTTCAGCCTCACTTTACGCTTTTACAAACTTAAGCCCATTGTCCTCATTCCTCCAGCATCCTAACTTCTTCCCAAGTATTTCTAAAATTCTAGTGTCCCCCCACTTTGTCCCCAACCAATAAATAAAATAAATAAATCTTTAAGAAAAGAGAGAAATGCTTACTGACAGACTAACCATCTCTAATTCCTCCATGAAGACCCAAATTACAAGGCATTTCCACAGGAAGCCACTCCCAATGCCCCGAATCATAGTAGCTTCTACTTCTGTATTCTCCAAACCTTCAGTTGTATTAATAAGAGTGGCTAACAGTTACCCATCATACTTGCTATAAAGATGACGAGGTAATATTTTTCTATATGTATTAATACATTTAACCCTCAAAACAACTCATAAAGGAAGTGCTATTATTTTTCTCATTTTACAGAAGAGGAAACCAAGAATGGCGGAGGTTCAGTAACTTGCCCCAAAGTCACACGACAAAAAAGCAGCAGAACTGACTCAAAGCCATGCACCCTGCTATGTGTTACCTCTAAAACATCAAGAGAGAAAGGTACACAATTAACATGTCCGGTTTACTGCCTCATAATCTCTGCACTTCCTGTGTCTAGCACAGAGTAATTACTCGCTAAATTGTTGTATGAATGGACGAATGTGTATGTTTCTGCCTCAGCTTATGAGCCCCTTAAGAATTAGGGTTTTGCTTTAATTCATTTGGTATCCTACACACCAAACAAGGTACCAGAAACACGGTAGCCATGCAGTAAGTTCTTGAACCTGGATAAATAAGAATCCAGTATTTTGTGGTGACAGTATGATAAATTCATCAGTCGGAAAATTTGCAGTGACACAATTACTCTTGAAACAAGAACATTCGAAAGCTGACATCCTTGTCGTCTGGATCAACATGTAATAATACACTGCTTTGATAGAGACCCAGAGTCTCCAGCTACCCCTCCTCATCCTTGCAAAGGTGCATGGTTCATTGCAAGTGGTAGAATGGGGGTTAGAATCGTTGGCTGTCCCTAATCCTTGCAATTTCCCTGCTTCACCCATAAATGAATAGAGCTTATGACTAGCGGTTATTTTAACAGCAAAAGCAGGTGCCGGTAATACAGGCAAGTGTTAGAGTCTCTCCTGCTTTCTTAGCTACTTCGGCTCAAGGATTCACGTATTCAGCATTCTCTCTTGCATCCTTTACACCCAAAGCCTGTCACAAGCTGTTTCCTCCAGCAAGGAACGTGTCTGTTTCCGAGAAAAGAGACTCTGCCTGTGCTTTGTCTGGCAATGGCCCCCGGGATGTGCTCCCGGTTCCACCTCTGGCTCTCACAGCTGAACGACCCCCTTGCTTAGGCTCTCACGACACAGGTTGCAACATACAAATAATTCAAATTTATGGGCGTTAGTTGCCTACGCCATATATTTTAAATCTTCCCATGAGATCTCTAAAGATGGATATCCTGGATTCCCTTCTAAGCTGAATCATTTATAAATGTGATGGTTTGGCAATGCCTCTGAATTTTAATCCTGACTCTTCTCCCATTTCCAATTTACAACGAATACCGCTTCCTCTTTGGAAGGGCAAAGAAGAGAGGTGAATGGGGAAGAGGAGGTGTAAGTTAAGGAAAGTCATCCAGGTCAATGTTTTCTGAAATGTCTCTTACTTAGAGGAGCGTTTGTATGAATGAACTCCCTGTTTGCTGTTGCTAAGGCTCCCTGCAGGTACTTAACTGGATCTTTCCAGATGCTGCCTGGAATGAGCGAGCAAGAGCACCACAATCCTGTGGATAATAGATAGCCACAGAAAATAGTGAATGATGAACTCCCATTCAGAGATAGGTACACAGGGCTCAAAATGCACTGGAAAAGTCTTTTATTAAATGCCTGCATCTTGTATGCACGCACCCTCCGGAACAGATGCGCAGATCTGGTTAGAAACTGACATTTCTCTGGATAGAAGATGGTGCTGTCGTCAACGCGGTGTGCTTTTCCATCCTTGATGTTCACAGTTGCAAAGTGGAAGACATGTATAGAAGGAAAGAAGAGCAACTACTTAGCAAGATTTCAGCTGGAGCCTTCAGCTGTTTACCTCTGAGGGTCTAAGAATGGGAGGGAGCTGCTTGATAGGTTCTATCTGAGGTTTTCTCCTTGTGAGGTCTCCCATGAAGGCCCTCAGAGAATCTCCGTGGAGAAAACTGCTGTAGCCAAATCAGGATATCCAGAAGTCTCAAATTTCCTTTGGGGATCTGTGGCAGACAGCATTAGTTGTTAATCGAACGTCTATCCTCCCTTCTCCCTTGCTCAT